GTAGTTCGGTGATACCTAGCCGCCCCACTTCATGTAGTTCGGTGATACCTAGCCGCCCCACTTCATGTAGTTCGGTGATACCTAGCCGCCCCACTTCATGTAGTTCAGTGATACCTTGCCGCCCCACTTCATGTAGTTCGGTGATACCTAGCCGCTGAACTTCATGTAGTTCGGTGATACCTAGCCGCCCCACTTCACGTAGTTCGGTGATACCTAGCCGCCCCACTTCATGTAGTTCGGTGAACCTAGCCGCCTCATTTCATATAGTTTGTGGTACCGCTACTGAAGGCCTCTACCGTTAATGGGTCGCTACGTGCACTCTGGTCATAGCATTTACTACCCTGCGCTTCTCTAATTGCATCCTTTAGTCAGGACTTTAATCACAACTTGATATCTTTTAAAAATCATAATCCATTTCATTAATCTATAACATATTTTTTCAGACATTTTAGTACTCTTCAAACTGAATCGTGTATGTCTTATATGACGTAAGCCTCATCAGTGTTTTGTACGAGACACTTCGTTGTACGCCAGTTTTGGATCAAATATCACAGTATAAAGAGTTATCTTGACAACCGTGTCTTTTGACTAGTCGGCCGCCGCAGTCACGTGTCGTCTCCTTGATTTATTTAAAGGGTTAAGGTGGGTGTTGCATTTCTAAATTAAATTAACTAAATTAGTACCCACACCAACACTTGTTCTTTAAACATAATATTAACACCCTTAAATATAGCGATGCGTATATTGAAAGATAGCCATGCATATGTTGGGTCATAAAGAATAATTTAATTCAAAAGAACTAACTTGGAATATGAATTTTGTATTATTATTCAACGTTGCTGATCATTTGTTGATATTCGTTATTTGATATTTCGTTGAAAATGTTTTTGACTCTCATGCTGCAATTTGACTCGAACATTTGTTGAATGAACTAAACTTTTTCCAGCATCCAGGAGAATCCTAAAAACTGCCTAAAATGAAGCGCACTCACCTTCTCGCGGCCCTGACCGTCTTAGCCACGGTACGTTGGACGTTGCCGTCGCAATGACGAGTTGGAAAGAAATTTGATCGTTCAAATTATTTAAAAACGTAATTTTTAAGTTAAATGTAACAAATTTATAATTATTAGTGTTGAAAAAGACCGAACAAGCATCGAATACATAAATTTATGAAGTTTCAAGATGCTTTCCTTGTAACTATGAAATCTCTTGTGATGTATGATGCTCTCTGTGTTATGCTTTATATGTATATAATAGCGGCAAAGTCCTTATGCAAATCGCGGGTACCTCTCTTTCACAAAGAAATTATTGAATTCACCTTACGATTTTGAATTCTTTTTAAGGTGATGTTTCGTGCTACCATCTTGTTTTTACGTAATTAATAAGGACCTCTTGCGAAAAGATGTGAATGTAAATGCATGACCATGAAACATCGTGAATTTTTATTCCGACCAAAATAGAGGCAACTTAAGTTTGTTGCTTTTAGCTTCGTTCGTTGCCAAAGTTTTTACATGAAGATTGAAATACTGTGGACATTTCGAAATCCTAGGAATAAATTCCTGTGTAGCTCAGCAATATGATAATAATTTTTCAATATTAGTGTACTCTTTACTTGTTAATTGTTAAGAAATTAAAAATTGCGCGGTCTTCCAATGAACTCGATTCAAAAAATTTACTGGCGCTTCTCTCTAATTTCTTGGAGAATAATCCAAATATTTAGGGTGATGTACCATAAGCAATGTGATATTAACATAATTTATACACTCAAATTGATTATATTTATTTAATGAACTTGAATTGTGGTGTTGATGATAACAGAGCGAGTAATTGAGGTTACACTTTCAATATCCTTAGCGTTTGTAATTAAATCATTACGAAACTAAAAATTTCTCACACGAGTTCATTTCCTGCAGATGGTAGCACTGGCATCGAGTCAGGTGAGCGCTGGAGACGACGTCGTCAAAGCATATAAAATCGCTTTTACATGCTTTGGTATTAATTTGGATGTCACGTTATTCATACTTGAACAATACTAATCATTAACTCCTTGTTAACATTTGGTATAGTCAGCTTCTCTTTAATTATTTTATTATTCAACGAAGGAATAATTTGTTCAGCATGTGAGCGTCAGAGCGCCAGGCACAAGCCGCGCCCTGAGCTGCGCAAGACGCTCGGTCAGCGTCATCTTCCAGCGATTCGCCGCCAAGTTGTCTGATGGAGCCAAAGTGGTGGGTTGCAAAGTTGTCTCTTGAAGGTCTCCAGGGTGAACTCCCCCTCTCTTAGATCCCTTGGTAGGGCGTTGAACAGCCTTGGCCCTGCCACGGAAAGCGATCCTTCCCGCAGGGATTTGCATGCATCATATCTTGTGACACAACAGCACTGTCAACCAGTATACAAACAGACGATATATCATTTATTTCTCTCGCTCCCGGCTAAATTGCAGAATTTAAATTTTTACAATATTTTTTTCTACTTTACAACCCAAATTTCTGGGTAGCAGTGCACCAAAAGCATGACCTTTAATTTGTGCAGGTTTTCGAGCTCTTCAGAGTCTCTCAGGAAGCCTTTGATGTAATGGTTACAAATTCACGCACGATGGCAACTGGTTTAAGCTTCATGCAGTGCGCAGGCGGTGTCAATTCTCGAGGTTAGTGTTTATTAAGTATTTTTTGTCCATGAAATTCTTCAGCAAGCATTTTATTTCCTGGTGTTCACTCACTCAGAGAGAGAGAGAGAGAGAGGCCTTCACGGACGGGTCGCATGCCGAAGACCACCACTGCCCTGGATGTAATGGACCATCGTGATTCCTGCCTTCCGGAACGTAGCCTTCAACACTTCAAGCAGTCCGTATCTAGGTCGTGGGTCGAACCAGCCCTCGGTCGAACGGCCACTTGTCGAAGGACGATAAATTTTGGAACAGAACCATGCTATCTGCAACCTAACCTCAGTTGCGGTGAACGTAAAATTACGTAATTTAACGATGCCCAGAAGTCATATTCGATCCGCGGGCTGGTGGTGCACGGCTGGTGGTGGTCAAGGCCAGAGGATGACAAAGCCGAGTGGTGCACGGCTGATTGGTGTAGGTCCGAAGAGATCCAAGGCGTTCGATTCAGGGCTTATTGGTGCACAAAATTCGTGGTGCACGGCTGCGCTCCCTTCACGGACTCGCCCTCCTTTTCTTTTGTCATTTGTTCTCATGCCCTGCAGGCCTGCTACACTAGCTACTACCCGGCCGTATAGCGTGTTACTGGGAACTGCACTAGCTACTACCCGGCCGTATAGGGTGTTACTGGGAACTGCAGTAGCTCCTACCCGGCCGTATAGCGTGTTACTGCGAACTACACTAGCTACTACCCGGCCGTATAGCGTGTTACTGCCTTACTGGGAATTACACTAGCTACTACCCGACCGTATAGCGTGTTACTAGGAACTACACTAACTACTACACGACCGTATATCGTGTTACTAGAAACTACACTAGCTACTACCTGTCTCTTATACACATCTAGATGTGTATAAGAGACAGGTGATGTACCATAAGCAATGTGATATTAACATAATTTATACACTCAAATTGATTATATTTATTTAATGAACTTGAATTGTGGTGTTGATGATAACAGAGCGAGTAATTGAGGTTACACTTTCAATATCCTTAGCGTTTGTAATTAAATCATTACGAAACTAAAAATTTCTCACACGAGTTCATTTCCTGCAGATGGTAGCACTGGCATCGAGTCAGGTGAGCGCTGGAGACGACGTCGTCAAAGCATATAAAATCGCTTTTACATGCTTTGGTATTAATTTGGATGTCACGTTATTCATACTTGAACAATACTAATCATTAACTCCTTGTTAACATTTGGTATAGTCAGCTTCTCTTTAATTATTTTATTATTCAACGAAGGAATAATTTGTTCAGCATGTGAGCGTCAGAGCGCCAGGCACAAGCCGCGCCCTGAGCTGCGCAAGACGCTCGGTCAGCGTCATCTTCCAGCGATTCGCCGCCAAGNCCTGTCTCTTATACACATCTAGATGTGTATAAGAGACAGCCCTACAACTGCGCTGCGCCATGGCTGATATAGAGACAAAATTCTAGCAGCTCGGCAGGGCCGGAACTCTGCGCTGTTTTAGCGCTGTCTCTTATACACATCTAGATGTGTATAAGAGACAGGAACTACACTAGCTACTATCCGACACTATAGTGTGTTACTGGGAACTGCACTAGCTACTACCCGACCGTATAGCGTGTTACTGGGAACTACACTAGCTACTACCAGACAGTATAGCGTGTTACTGGGAATTGCACTAGCTACTACCCGACCGTATAGCGTGTTACTAGGAACTACACTAGCTACTACCCGACAGTATAGCGTTTTACTTGGAACTACACTAGCTACTACCCGACCGTATAACGTGTTACTGGGAACTACACTAGCTACTATCCGACAGTATAGCGTGTTACTGGGAACTGCACTAGCTACTACCCGACCGTATAGCGTGTTACTAGGTACTACACAAGCTACTACCCGACCGTATCGCGTGTTACTAGGAACTACACTAGCTACTACCCGACCGTATAGCGTGTTACTGGGAACTACACTAGCTACTATACCAGACAGTATAGCGTGTTACTGGGAACTGCACTAAATACTACCCGACAGTTTAGCGTGTTACTGGGAACTACACTAGCTACTACCCGACAGTTAAGCGTGTTACTGTTAACAACACTAGCTACTACCCGACCGTTAAGCGTGTAATCATGAACTATTACTTAACCACCTGTATACCATGTCTGACCTCACGTACAAACACTGAACTGTCATCATTAATACACCTACTCTAAAATCATTAATCTTAAAAGAAATCTCGTGTTTTTGGTGCAGCTTAATAATCCACATCAATCGAAAAACATTTACTCACAATCTGTATCATTAAATACTATCAATTGTCGGAGTCAACACTTAATGCAGTTTTTTTAGAAATCTTGATTTTTAATTGGCTATTTTTTTATTGCTTTGCAGCTAATTTGATAAGATTTTCTTTAAATTCTAAACCTCATGCAGACAATAGCGGTTTCGAAGTGAGCGCCAAAAATGCCATATACTAGTAGGAAACTATAACTTCTCCTTCACTTGCAGAAATGTCCCGACGGCTCCGGATTTGAATGAAAAATACTGAAATTATTCTTGTTATTGCCTCTTGAAGTTTCTGTTATGATCACCGTAAATCCACAAATGTTACGATATTTTGGTATAAATCGGGACTACTCTTGACTTCTAATGCAAGTCCTACTCATCAATAATATTTTTCTTTTTTATTACAAATTGACGAACCATTTGTAATTTTTCGCGCAGAACACGCGTTTTCCTACGACGCTGCCGGGGTCTGCAGAGCTCATAAGTTACGTGAAAGCTTCTGCTGCGTTGCCGACGGCGACATTAACGTTTACGTTCGCAGGGACTTCGTGCGGAATGGTCGGTATCTGTTGCTGTTATTTTTATCTATTGTAGGATTAAATGAACACGCGTGCATCCAGCAGTTATTTATCTAATCATTTTTATTTACTCGATGGAATCTACAATAATAAGTGTTATAATTATTTTTTCACACACAAATTTCACAGTTTCTTGAAGGAAAGTGGTACATTTGATACATGTTTCTACAATTTACAAATTTTTAAACGAGATGATAAATATGTTTAAATGAATCACGACAGGAACTCATCAAAAAGAGTGGCAGTTCATAAAGATTGAGTAACTAAAGAGATTGAAGTGAATTTACCACGTTTTTCTTAGTTTTGTTTCGTCTCTGTCTGTCTGTCATCAAAAATTCAAACCTTAATTTAGAGCACTTCTGAAGATCCTAGGACCTTGAAATTTGGCATGCATGTTTATGATGCCTGTATCTGATCATCAGAAGTAATAATCGAAAAAATTTAATAATTTTTTAAATTGAAAAATAAACATAAAAAAACATTTTTAAAAACCACGTTTTTCTGGTGGTTACAAAACTAAAAAACAGTGAAATAAAACATATAAAAACTTTTAAAAACCACGTTTTCTTAACGTACAAATCAGAAAAAGATTAACTCTTACATAACATTACATAACATTCTACATAACTTTAATGTTATGTAAGAGTTAATGTTTTTCTTTTTTGACCGTTAAGAAAATGTGGTTTTTAAAAGTTTTTTTTATATTTTTTTTGCTCATTCGTATTGCTTTTAGACAAGTATCTGAAAGTCGCTGTGAAACTATTAGATAAAATTGTGAAGTTTCACATAGAAGTTTGCTCGCATGACCTAGTTTGAGAAATCTTGCTTCTGATAAAATTCACTGAGTGTGCATTCATCTTCAATAAAGAAGCTTATCTTGAAGGGGGAAAACCTGTTACTTGTTTGTAAATGTTGAGAAAAATAAATGTTTTGATGCAAGTTTCATAAGAAACTAGCATTCCTTCATTCTTTACAGACTCCCTTGACCTAACTTCTTCTGTCCACAGATAGCGATACTGCGTATGTGGAACAAGGTAATAACCTCGTGGGATACATTCCATCGCTCCTGTTTACGCTCGAAGAGCTGAATGCTGAGGTGTTGGATGGTAAGCAAAATTTTCTGTCACTGCATGATAACTAATTTGCTATATTGACCAACTACTGCATGTCAATTAAAATGATCCATTTACCTAGTGAGAATTTCACACTTAACCCAACCGAATTTTCAAATCGAATATTATTATTCATTCTACGTTATCAGAGGTTCAGTGTATCATAGATTATTTCGCCGTCGGAACTCGATTTTTAAAGTAACAGCCATGATCTGTGCAGAGACCAGATAAAGGCTTGTTGTAAATCTTCATTTTTTTATACGTAGCAGATCTTACTGAATTAATGTCAAGATATTCAGAAACAGCGCTTCAAATTATCGAAAATCTACTAGTACTATCATTAGGTTCTGATATTTGCAAACAGATGGAAGTCTTTCATCCTTGGACGACACAAAGGTGATTGTTCACAAGGATGATAAGTTCTATCAGTTTACCAACACTCGTCACATCGACATCCTGACCTGCATGGCTCCCAACTCCTGCGGGATGTGGGCAGCAATAACGAAAACTGCAGCTATGAGTCACGTAGTTGGTGAGTATTCCCTAACCTGTTCCATTTAAACGAGAAGTTTTGACTTTGAAGCTTCGGTTAACATCCGATTTGGTTGATCGATGCGATCTACAAAAATTCATTCAATTATAGGCAACAATAATTAGATACTTACTGTATATGACTGTAATCAAAAGTTTCGGAATATACCCTTGATTCAAACGACGAGCAAGTTGAGTGATTAGAGGTGCGTTATCCATTTTCAAAAAGAAGGTCTATTGAATTACATTCATTGCTACCTGTTCCATGCACTAATCAAGCTGTGTGGCATGTCCTAACATTGATATGTGTATGTAGCGTGCGGTGTCTGTTGTAAAGTAGTGTGCTGTGTCTGTTGTAATTTAGCGTGCTGTGTCTGTTGTTGTAATGTAGCGTGCTGTGTCTGTTGTAATGTAGTGTGCGGTGTTTGTTGTAATAATGTAGTGTGCTGTGTCTAATTTAGCGTGTGGTGTCTGTTGTAATGTAGCGTGCGGTGTCTGTTATAATGTTGTAATGTAGTGTGCTGTGTCTAATTTAGCGTGCGGTGTCTGTTGTAATGTAGCGTGCGGTGTCTGTACTGTAGCGTGCTGTGTCTGTTGTAATGTAGCGTGCGGTGTCTGTTGTACTGTAGCGTGCTGTGTCTGTTGTAATGTAGCGTGCTGTGTCTGCTGTAATGTAGCGTGCAGTGTCTGTTGTAATGTAGCGTGCTGTGTCTGTTGTAATGTAGCGTGCACTGTTACCATAGTAACATGTTGCATCAATAACCATTTTAGCGCCGAAGTTGATGGTTTCCCAAAAAAGAATTTATCATTTGTGTACAAGTAATTCACTAGTAAACATTGATTCACAACTAAAATTAACAAGTTTAGAGTTGTGAAAAACGTAGATGTAGAGCTTTTTTCAACGACAGTATGATCAATGTACCGTCACTAGGTTATAATTTTTAATTGGACTTGTACTCATCAGTCGGGAACTGTGGCAAGACAATCCAAGACCCGCTGAATTTCGGCGACCGTATCGTCTCCCACGCCGGCTACGGCTGCGTGCCCTTCCCTGACTACGTCGGGGATTGCTCGCTCACATTCACCTCGCCCAACGGTTATTCAGATTTCGTGTGGGAAACTTCAGACTTCAACACAGACGGCTTTTGCGATGGTTTCAATATCACCTTAGCCTCCCCCGGTGAAACGCCTAAGGATCTTTGCGCTTTGTCTGTGAGTATCTTACATTCAATAAGTCAACTGAGAAGTAATCTTTGCGCTCTGTCTGTGAGTATCTTACATTCATAAGTCAACTAAAAAGTAACTAGACATCATCTTAAGAGAGATAATAATGATATTCAAATGTTACATATCCAAAGGGTACACAGAGAAAATGCTAATGTTATTGCAGACTGCGCTCCCGAAAGACGGTATCTGTTTTATTATTTGTTTCTGGCTGCTAGATTCAGTTTTTGGTGGTAAAGAAAACCTAATAGTGAGCACTTATACGCACGTATGATTGAAAATTTGCAATGAAATTTTGCGGGTTATGTTGCACAGGCAATAATTTCGCGGATTTCGACCCTCGACTCGAAACACTCGTCAATATATTTTGCACATATAAAATGTGTTAATCCTGCTGTTCGTAACAGTCACTCAGTATTTCTGTTGATATGAATAAATTAAAAAGCGACTAAGAATTTAAAAGGAAATGAAACGGCATTTATCTATACAAGTACAATCAGCATTAAAGAATTGGCGAATGAACACATTAGCTCGAAATCTGTTTGACTGATGTCCTGAGATTTGACATTCATTCATTCTCATAAGACTATTTCTTAAAATTGAGCACCGACGTACGTGAAAATTAATGACAATCTGTAATACGAGCACATCGCAGGAATTCATTGATAGTATGTAATCTTTTTTTTTTCATTTGCTGAACTATATGAAGCTCAACGTACTTTCACTGTGCGAACAGATTCATGGTTTGTTACACGAATAGTAATTTTAGTCTAAACGCAGAGTACATTTTTGAACCTACCAGTTTATTCCTGCTCGGAAAATGTGTAAAAAAAAACTTATAGGAAGGTATCAAAAATGTGGGTATAGCTGACAACTTGCGAGTGATGGTGCAAATAAGAGTTCAGCTGCATCTCCTGAAAAGACGATTTTTATAAATTGGTCGGCTTGTTTGATAATTTGAAGGATGGCGCAATGAAGTGTGGTTTCACTTTATTTGGGCAGGCAAGTTCTTCTTTTGGAATAACACGCAATGTCACGTATGTCCTGCGCATCAAAGGGACGACGACAACGAACCGCAAGTTGGTCGGCTTCACGGTGACGTTCGAAGATGACTAGAGATCGTCCGGCCAAACCTCAGGCATTTGTAATGGCAACTTGACATTCAATTGCTCTAAATGCTTCTTCGGAATTCCATTCTACAATGTATTCAGCAATGGTTTCCTTTGTATTATGTTGTGTTCAGCAATTATTTCCTTTGTATTTAGATGTGTTCAGCAATTAATTCGTTTGTATTTTGTTGCGTTCAGCAATTATTTTGTTTGTATTTTGCTGTGTTCAGCAATTATTTTCTTTGAATTTAGATATGTTCAGCAATTATTTCCTTTATATTTTGATGAGTACAGCAATTAATTACTCCGGATTTGGATGTGTTCAACAATCATTCCCTTTGGATTTTGATGTTTTCAGTAATTATTTCCTTTGTAATTTGATATGTTCAGCAATTAATTACTTTGTATTTGAATGTTTCCATCAAATAATTATTTTGAATTCGGAAGTGTTCAGCAAATCATTGCCTGCGGATTTATTTGTGTTAGACAATTAATTAATTTAGATTTGGATGTGTTCAGCAATAAATTACTTTGGATTTAGACGTGTTCAGCAATTAATTTCTTTGAATTTGGGTGTGTTAATCAATTAATTGCTTAGGACTTTGTTGTGTTCAACAATTAATTCTTTTAGATTTGGATGTGTTAAACAATTAATTCCTTAGGATTTGTATGTGTTTAGCAATTAATTCTTTTACATAAGGATGTGTTAAGCAATTGTTTACTTTACCCAGTTAAAATTTTGAGCCGAGACCGGCGCCGGGTTTAGCCGGGCTGGTCGCGCTTTAGCAGGATGGAGCCGTGAAACAATAACCGGCCATCTATCCCTAACTCATCTTTCTTACCATCCACCTCCTATCACTCTTCCTCATCACAAAACCATCCAACTCATACCATCTACCATACCTCACATTAAACCACGTCCCTCTCCTTTTATACCTCATGTAGCTATTCACATACTCCAACTCATGCTCGCCGCACCAATCAATCAGATCTCTTCCTGCCTCATTCATGTTTACAATGCCATACCTTCCGCACGCCCCCTCCCTTTCATTCCCTCTTCCCACATTCGAGTTGAAATCTCCCCCTATAATCAATTTCTCACTTCCACCACACGCAACTTGATTCTCAACCGCTCTTCTGTACCTCTCCATACCGTCATCATTCGTTCCCCACACAGGCTGATACACTGACACCAGTCGCAAACCAACACCACAGCAGTCACTCTCTCCTCAAACCATCTCTTCTGTCCATCTCTCACCCACACCTCTAAAGCCTCACCCCTCAACACCACAGCCGACTTCTTCCCATGTACCACCACTACTCTTTCCTCATCCTCTCCCAGCCACAACACACCCTCATCATCCGCACTTATTTCACTCAACAAAACAATCTCCCACCCTTTCCTCACAATCTTCTCAATCACTCTCCTCAAACGCCTCCTATTATGCTCTCTCATTGACAATCTCTGCACATTCCACGTCACAATCGCTCTCTCCCTCCTTTGCCTCCCCTCCACACCCTCATTCTCTCCCCCCCGATCCCTCCTCCGCCTCCTCCGACCCTCGTGACGTCTTTCTCTCCTCTCTTCTCTTCGCCTCTCTCCCACTCCCCTCCGCCCCCTCCAGTTCCTCGGCCCAGGGTGCGGGTGAATGGACCGGAGTCCAATCACCCTAAGGGCTGCTGCCAGCCTGTCCAAAACGGCTCGCCACCGTCAGGCAGGCACCGATGCGGGCCCCCGAGGGGCCCTCGCCTCGAAAGTTTTTAAAGAGGGGTCCGGGGCGGCTACTCCCTTCTTCCTCTGTTGTGACCGGGGGGGTGTTGGGCATCTCCCCTTGCGGCTTGATCCCACATTGCCCCCCGCCCCCTGGTGGATCCTTTGCATCTCCAGGGGCCAACAGCTGCCGGCCCCGGGCGAGTCCCCCTTGCGCCACAGGAGGCGAACCATCGAGCAAGGGCACCGAGCAACCCTCTATTCCTCAAGACTCCACTCTCATCATCCTCCTCTCCCTCATCCTCCACACGTTTTCCAAATACATCTCTTCACACTCTCAAACATAGCCGCAGTTGCTCCCTCAGACAGACCCGTAATTATCGCCATCCACTCTTCGCTTGTTCTCTCATGCCCCACCTCGTTAGTCTCACCTCTCTCATTCAGAATCACCTCAATCATAGGATGTGTTCAGAAATTAATTCTTTTAGATTTGGATGTGTTAAGCAATTATTACTTTGGATATGTTCAGAAATTTATTCTTTTAGATTTGGATGTGTTAAGCAATTATTACTTAGGATGTGTTCAGCAATTAATTCCTTTGGATGTGTTGAAATACAAATACATTTAAGGCAAGTATTCGTTAAATACCTATCATGATCTCAACTCACATGTCTGAAATGCATGTTGGATCACAGTTTTGAAATCAATAGAATTGTATTTTGTTGAAAGTCAGACTCTTTGAATACAAATGTTAACTATAAAAATTATGAATTCGACTAAGCTTTTACGAGAGAAATTCATACACACCTTGCACTCGTGTTGAATTAATGAATTTCTTGAATTTGATGGGATTTACAGTAAGATTTTTGTGCTTAAGTTATTGGCTCTTCAAATAAATTGCTTTAGTTTGCTTGAATTACGAGTTCACTTGATTCCTTTTCTGGTTGAATATCTTGTTTGAACCCACATAGATCGAACTGAACTAAAATAGATTAAATTTGCCCATTCAATGCGTTGATGGTAATTGAATATGATCATGAAATTTCAATTATATTTATGATTATTAAAGGCTAAAAAACCAAAATCGAATCTACTCAGTTCGCACACTTCAAAAGATGCTATAAATTGAATAAATTCCCTAATAAATTTATTGAAAATCCAAGTTAATTTGAAATAGTTATAGGCTAATTTCATGATCATGCGGAATAGTAGGCATGGATTTTAATGGCACAGGGAATTCATGTATTCTCTGCAGAAACATGGAAAGAATAAATTCCTATAGTTTAATGAAAATATAAGTTATAGGCTAATGAAATAAAGACCAAACTTTCAACATATCAAATTCATATAATGTCATTTATTAAATTCATTTTATACAAGTGGTATTTGAGTTAGATTTTATTATGCTATTTTTAAAGTTTAATGGAAGTACTAAAATCACTTGGTTGTTTGGATCGCAAATTTACCAGGAATTTAAAAGCAAAGAAAATCGTCAAAAGTTCAATTTCTTATAAGAGAAAACGTTTCGGAGTCCAGCTTCATCGTCAGTTCAAACCATAGAACACAGGTACAAACAATTAGGAGCCTAAAATTCACATTAAAAAATGAACCTAAACTTAAGGACATTAGAACCAAAATCGAAAATGAAACAAGCCTGAATGAGACAACATGAGCAGAAGGGACGTACTATCTATTCACCATTTGTAGAGGATAGGAACTAAAAACAGCATTTAAACTGGGCTTCTGTTTAAAAATATACAATGATTTTAAAATTCTTAGGTCTGAAACACCGGTTGTGGAAGCTAAAATCCTAAAATCACTATTGGACACCGGGATGTTGCACTGCTCGGCATGAATAAGTACAGCTGAATGAGGGGGACTTTTTTTGTTTGGAAAAATGACGAGAATTTTTAGTTTGAAAAAAAGAGTTGTTTTCTTGTCGCCAGGACAGCGAAAATAGCATTTTTCGTTCGCGTCAAGCCACGCCTTTCGTTCTGCAACGTTGTCTGGGTACCCTGGCCTGAGGAAAACTTACAATTCCCAATCAAAAATGAAAAGTGTATCGCCGGTGCATTGACGTAGATTTAGGCCGAGACAAACGAACGGGGTACATGCGTATCATCTCCGTAACATCGAAGTAGTGTCCACTTTTTAAGTGCGGCGATTCGCTCTTAAGGGGAGCGTCTGCCCCAAATTTTATCTCAGTTATTCATCGACGGATCGATTCGAAATTCGGTACACGTATGTAAAACGGAATTCTAAGACTTTTTTTTGTTCGTGTGAATTTTTCGAAAAAATGAAGGAAAACGTTAAATTCTTAGAAAACGGGCAAAAAAAGAGGGTACTGTAGAAATCTATCTCCTCCTAGGATTCTCAAGCTACAACATCGAGACATATCATTCGATGCGTAAAGACCATATCTTAAACTGATGCAGACTTTTTTTTTGAAATTCTCATTTTATGGGTATAGGAGCATTTTTCATGAATTTTTCGGACATTTTTTCATTTTACCCCCGCCACCCCCCCTTTTTGCAGAATAAAACCCAAACTATAACTAAATTAGGAAAAACTTCTGCATCATTTGTAGATCTTTTATTTGCGATTCGAACGATTTATCTCTCATTGATGTAGCTTCAAAACTCTAGAAGGAGATAGGTTTGCAGTGACAATAAGTTAGCTTTTCAGTAGAGCCCGACAAAGTCGCGCGCGCCTCGAAATAGACATTCAAGGGTGCAAGGTTGCAAGACTAGACGATAATAGAGCTCAATTTCTGGCAAGGATGGTGCGAACGACGGCACGAGAACCATCCCGTACGACTGCAGGCGGATAACTGAAGCACAGCGTTTTCAGACTAGCCATTTAAGTGTACTGCCGGTAATTTCGGCCTATCTTAAATATGAAAGAACTCCACCACCCATAACCCTTTCGCGATCTGTCGTGAACGCATAAATCAACGTACAGAGATGGTTTTGGTACCGTTGTATGCGTCAGAATGTAAGCTTCAAGATGAGTATAAAAACTGAAAAAGTCAAAATTTTCGATTTTGGGGCAGACGCTCCCCTTAAACTTTTTAAACTTTAAACTTAACTCCCCTTAAACTGCACAATTTTTATCTTCGATTCTTCAGTGCCGTCATGTACAGCGTTGCCATACACCATCAATTGTTCAGCGTTATCATACACTGCATTGCCGTACAACTTCTATTTGTTGGTATTGCCGTACACAACGCTCATATACAATTGCATTCACTCAGGTCCATGCCCCGCTATAATCTTCCTAGAATGCTTGGAGTAGCCTTGAAATTTCTTCCAGAGATGTACTCTAGTGTCCTTAATTGAGTGTACCCACTTAGTCATTCGGCATTTACTCAAGTGTACTACAGCCTACAGGAATTTTTTTATTTATTGAAGAAAAGTGGTTACCACGATGGCTGGAGAATAAGCTTCCGTTGAATTAAAAAATTTCTTTATATATATATATATATATATATGTATATTATTATAAGATGGCAGAAATTTCTTGATTATATGCG